GCCGCTGTCAGCGCAGAGAGTGACGGCCCTGCTAGGTCTAGAACCTGACCAAAGCAGCACTGTAATCCCTCATTTAAATCTCAGTGCCCCTGGCTTAGTTACGGACTGGTGCAGAGAGTGACGGCCCTGCTAGGTCTATGTCCTGGCCAAAGCAGCACTATAATCCCTCATTTAAATCTCAGTATGTCCTGCACGTCAGTGTGGGGGCTGCTGGGGGCTGGACTCACACAAAGTGCTTGTACTTCATGTACCCGTCACCATGTGCTCCTCAGCTACCTGAAAATTGCTCTCATCAAGCACTATAGGAAGTTTTTAGTAACACCTTACTTAAGGTTGTTTTTAGACATTTATAAACATGTCCATAATATATTATAATGCATTCATAAAGCATTGTAAACATATCCATAAATATTTATAAAAAGGCATAACACATAATAGCCATGGTTATAAAGCATTATGACTGTCTTATGAAGCTCTCATCTATAATGCACTATAGATACCTTTATAACAGGGGTGCCCAACTCCAGTCCTGGAGGGCTAGAGCCCTGTGTAGCTTAGTTCTTTCCCTGTTCCACCATAAATGATTCAGCTCAAGAGCTGTGTGGTAATTAGCACAAGGAGTTGAATCAGGTGTGTTAAATGAGGGGAAACCCAAAAATGTGCAGGGCTCCGGCCCCCCAGGACTGCAGTTGGGCACCCCTGCTTTATAATGCAGTACAAAGCATCCTTACTTATAAGGACCATTAAAATGCATTATAAATATAATTATCTATATATAAAATAATCTATAGTGCATTATAGATGAGAGCTTCATAAAGCATTTATAATGCATAATATACATGGCTATAATGTGTTACGCCTTTTGATAAATATTTATAGCCGTGTTTATAATGCTTTATGAATGCATTATTAATTGTTATGAATGTGTTTATAAATTACTAAAAACATGGCCTTAAGTAAAGTGTTTTTCAGTGGGCAGCAGCAACAGACTTCAAAAGCAGAGCTGAGCTGAAGCCAGAATGGACCAACATATCCTCCATCAAAAGCAAGGCTTAGTCTTACCTGCTGTAAATGTTTCTTCAGCTCGGAGGCCTCTGGCTCTGGCAGCGGGGGAAGCGTTTCTGCATTGCCTGGTACGATGACCTGTGGGGCACAAAGGAAGAAGCCAATGGTTAACCAGCCATTAGTCAGGGTCAGAGTAGCGGCGGCTCCTCCTAGCTGTCAGCTGAATTACAGTGTGCCCCTTTAAATGGTCACTATGAAACAGCTGTCTCCATCTGTAGGATCTGCTGGGGATTGCGCTGCTTATATCAGCAGGGTGATGAAAACTAGACAGTTAGCAGAACAAAAACAAATATGTGAAGCGGAGCAGGACAGAGCCGGATTGCCAAATGACCCAGAGCGCTAACCTTGTTACAGTCAAGGTCCACCAACCACACGTCATCTGGCATCTTGAAATCCGATTTGTACAGGAAGAAACTGGCTGGGACGCCGATGATGTAGGGAGTAGGGGCGAGAAGTAGCTGGGGGAGGTAAGTGAAGACCTGTTAGACTGGGCAGAGAACCATAAAGTCAGTGTTTCTGAACCCGGTCCTTGGGGACCCCCAGACAGTCCATGTTTTTGCTCTCTCCGAGCAGAAATGTGCAGAGAGCTGGGAGGGAGCAAAAACATGGACCGTCTAGGGGGTCCCCGAAGACCGGGTTGAGAAACACCACATAAATTTATAAGCGATTTCAGTTATTAATATACAGTCAAACCTCGGATAACTTGGTTTGTGAGTGTTTTGCAAGACGAACAAATTTTTTGTATAAATTTTAACTTAATAAACGAGCAAGGTCTTGCAATACAAGTATTACGTATACACTTTATCTGTTGAGCATCACGTGATCACAACTGAGCTGATGGTTCTTCTCTCTCTCTCTCGCTGCGGGATTGTGGGTAATCTTCTCCCATGCTCGGTCACAGTCGGAGTGCCTCACTCGTATAGTCAAAATTTAGTAGAAAAGCACCACCCAAATAAGGCAGTAGTAGTGTGAGCGATGAATCTGTTTAGCGACAATGCGATGTCCACATTTCCACGAAATCGAAAAGGAAGCAAAAGCTGCTGTCATTGGATAGGTTCCTTGTTAAAGTCGCACAAAAAGAAAAGATTCCGTTAGTTATAGTGAAAGCTGTCCTACAAAATAACTCTCCTCTTCTCCTCTCTCTCGTTTCCCTCACACCATCCACGATTCTTTTCAAAGGTAAATTGCAGGTTAATTTGTTTTATGTATTTTTACTTTATATTTTGTATTAATCATTTTCATATGAATATTTTTGGGTTGTGGAACGAATCATCTTGATATATGAGTGCTTTGGATTACGAGCACGTTTCCGGAACGAATTATGCTCGCAATCCGAGGGTTTACTGTAGATGCAATGTTAGTCATTTTGCTATGGTACTCATGTGCCTGATTAGCAGATGGCTTTCACTGAGATAACCATCAATCCTGGCTGTTTTATTTAAGGATTTTACCGTATTTACTCTTGTATTCTTACCCTTTGACATCACTAAGCCGCTGCTGCTAGAAGAGCTTAAACTTTTCTGGCAGCAGCCACTGCGATGTGGAGAAAGCGTTTTCAAAGTCCCTGCCCCCCTCACATCCACTGAGATACCTGCTCTGCCGATGCCATGCAGGTCGGTAGCAGTGGGATGATGGGAAACATGTACTCCAGCGGGTAGATCATGGCCACAAAGGCCATGACGCTCATGGACAAGGCGTTGTAGTCACGGGACTGGAGCACCACCTGATGGGAAGAGGGGCCATCCAAAAATCATGCCTCTTTCACCAACAGCTTCACGGTGCTGCCCCAGTAATCACATTACACCATATGGTCATCATAATGAAAGGTGATGACTGAACTCAGCCCGGTCCTAGGACACCCCCAGGCAGTCCACCTATTTGCTCCCTCCCAGCTGCACACCGGAGAAAAATTGTGAACTGTCTGGCAGGGACTTGGGAGGGAGCAAAAACATGGACTGGCTGTGGGTCCCCGAGGACCGGATTGAGAAACACTGCCATGTTCAACATCTCTGCATCATGCAGAAAAGATTCTGAATTCTGATTGGTTAAGATGCTTCACATTAAATCAATTACAGGTCTCTGTGTCATAACGTGTATAAACGGTTCTTCCGGGCTACCTTGTGCTCCAACAGGATACAGCTGAGAACCTGCAGACAGGCGTCCACTCCCAGCAGCTCGAGGGGCAGGTGCAGTGGGAAATCGACCATGGAGAAGCGGGACGAGTCGGGCAGGGCGAAGGTAAGGGGGCTCTGCATCTCACGGGGCAGCACTTCCACGCTGACGCGTTGCTGACCTGCAACCGGCACTGGGGAACGCAGCAGGCGGTAAACCCAGGCCTCGATCTCACGCAGGTCCTGCAGGAGAACGCTGCCCTTCTCCTCCACCGACAGGGAGCCGGTGAAGACACGCCACATGGTGTCCCTGCAGGGGCCGGACAGTCACAGTGCATCAGGGCATGAACACAGACACACGTGATCACACGCGGAAAAATGACACACATCCTTTAACCAGAGGAGAATAGTTTGGGTTCAGACAATAAAAATCCAGATTTTGTTTCAACCAACCAGTTGAGTACTCTGTGACTGTGACTCAATATGCAATTGGTTGGTTGAAACAAAATCTTGGTCTGGATTTTTACTTTCTGTACCTGAACTATCCACTTCTGCATATAGCAAATACAATCATACAAACACACAGGGAAAATGACAAATACAAACATGCAGAGATACATACATACATAAAGTTCAACAGATTAGGAATCTCAATTTCTGCTGAGAACAAAAGTTTGAAACTCTGAAAGAGCAACATACTGTGTGTTTAACAGAATGATGTGACATTTTAAAAAATGATAGCAAGTTATTCACACCTCTATTCTTATTCCCTTAGAAACAAAACAATGCAAACAATATTCCTGCACCAACTTCTGTTTATCTAATGATACACAGGTCATGCAATTCTTTAGAAGCTTTCAGTCTCTGAAATTCCTTCAGGAACATCAGGTAATGAGTAAATGAAGGTTATAATCACAAAAAGATAGACCTGCAGACCATCAACTGTATTGGCTGGCAGAGGAACATTAAAGAATATCGTCATTTGTCATCTGTCAGCCACCAGATTAAATTCTGATGTCAGAAACAGCCTGGCATTGTCAGAAGAAAACATCAACTCAAAAGCTGTCTGCACACATGCATATATGTGGTATTTAACAGAATCTTGAAGGAAACCTTGCTGGTAGCAGCAGGAGAAAATAACGATTGGGATCTTGGTCAAATAGGGATATATGGGCAAACAGCCCAAAAAAGGTCCATCACGCGAACCAAAAAAAAGAGGCTGGATTTGTTTTGGGGTTTTTTCCTGCATCTTAACTCCTACAACAAACTCCAAATTTTGCTGAAAGCTTAATCTGGGTCAACAACACACATCCCAACAAAGCAAGGAACCCAGGCACGAAAAAAAATGTAGAAATTGCACATAACCAAGGTTCTAGACTGGCTATCATCCCAATACATCAATACAATAAAACATTAGCCATGAGTTTACAAAAGGATATCAAAGGCAATCTGCCGGACACATTCCCCACAGAGAAATGATCAAATATCCTCGAGGAAACCTGCCTGAACCTGATAACACGCTAAAGCAAGGGGCTTCTCAGTATTCAAAGGAGAAAGTAATTTCTTTTAATATCACAATCATGATTCTAAGGAGAAAAATATCAAAATCGTTCATTATTTGCATTTCAATCTATTATCATTAATGTATCTATGCAAAAACCAAACGACCATCAATGATTTCCATTGTGCAAATGTAAAAAAAAAAAACACACAAAGGTATAAATATTGAGATTAGTGGGCTGGCACGCGTGCACACGGACAAAAAGAACATTCACTGCTACTGTGGCTCATTTCTCCGATCCTGGTGCAGATGCACACATCCAACAGCATTATTCCCATCCACTGGACAGCGTATCTCAGGTTTCCGTCATGCAGGGGCAGATGCATAGTCAATGCCGGGATAAACATTCACAGTTGTGGAGCTATTTGCGGCTGAAAGCCAAACAAAACGAACTGCGAAGCCAACCGTTCCAGCAGGTCCCCATTACGCCTCGGAACTGGAGCCAGGAGACTGGGGCGCAGCTGGCCAGGGGTGGGTGGAACAGAAGCAGGGGCAGGTCTCTGGGGGCCGTGTCTGTGGGGCGGAGCCACACTGGGTCAGATGCATATCTCTAAAATGCTTCAGGGCAGATGTATGAAGAAGCAGGGCTGTCCTGTCATATTTGGAAGCTGCTTGTATTTCCACATGAAAGCCTCTCCCTATCTGTACCTGAGTGATGCACACTTCATGGTAGACAGACGTTCTAGATACAATATTAATATGCATGTAATGTAATATGTGTATTTAATATATTTGCATGTTCAACATGCTGAAGTGAGGGTTATGGCATTTGCTGTCCATGGGTGCAGTCAGCTTTCTCAATCTGTCACAAAACCTGTCTCGGCCTCCTGTTCAGCTGCATTACATAACTATTACCAGGCCCGCTGTCAGAGTTAAATAACAGAAAACTGTGAGGTTTTTTTTTTTTTATTTTTAACTGAGAATGGCCATTTTGTTTTCTGCCGTGTGAAAGGATTATGTCGCAAGGCGTCAGGATCGTCCTTGAAGAGAGATGAGGACTGTTGCGGGATGAACGGCGCCGAGGAGGAGAGAGAAGTCCGTCCTGCGTGACGAGAAGCCTGGGGTGGACCTCATGTGCTACAGCCTGGTGGGCAAGCGGAACTGTGAAGGACAGGCCATCCTCTCCTACTGACCCTCGCGGCATTACTCATCATCACTAAGCTAGACGGGTGTATTATCAGAGAAAAACAGGCCCTGCCATTGCCTTCCCTCTTTAAGGGAATCAGTCATGTGCAGCCTCTGGATTAAATCTGTTCGGTCCATTTGAGTGAGTGGACTTGAGCTCTGAGAGACCCTTCGAAGAGGCGTTCCTCTCAGAAGTCACGCTGACAAGGTTAGCCAAGGTCACAGGCAATACAACCATTCTTGGCAGCTGAATATATTGCACCATCGTGCATAACAATTATTGGAGAATGAGGTGTGTGTATGTGTGTGTTCACAACACTGAACACTCATGTTCCACTTGACTGCCCCAACAGAAACTCTTCTTACTTAGGTATGTCAATCATAATTAAGGGTAATCATATATGGAACAAACATAAGTCACGGATTCCCATATGTGGCCTCGATCTCATTTGAAGGGGATTATCAATCTAAAAGACTAATCTAAGAGGCCCTGTCTCACCTGACACTACAAGGGCAAACGCGGAAACAGTGGTAGTGAGAGTAATTTTCAGAGAGAGAGTGGTTTACTCCGCAGTGTCCAGAGAAGCCCTCTGCATCACCAGAGCTATACATCTGCATAGCTTTGTCCCACAGTGAAAGACCCTCATCCAGCTGGAAGGAGATGATGCCTCACTACCTACTGCACAACCGAGCATGAGACGCAGCGAGCTGAAAAACTGAAATGTGACAGAGATATACCCATAAATAAACCCGTAACTACGGCCTCAGGCAGAAAATGACCAACCCAGGAATCATTACGGCATGATAAATATATACAAACCCCTGTATATTTAAAAAAAAACAGTGTCACAGTGACTTATTGGGTAGCTCTGCCGCATCACAGCCCCTGGGTGGGGGGTCTGAATCGTGCCCCCAATCAGTGTGTATGGTCCACCATGCCCAAATACATGCAGTAGGAGCATACCTGTGTGTAAGAACGTATGTGTATGTTCCCTGTAATGCAGTATAATGTCTGCAAGGTATGACTGTACAAAACATCCCCATGACCCTGAACAGAACAAACGGTTAAAAGATGGATGGATTTCTAAACAAATTCAGCTCAATCCACACGCAGACACCAATAAAGACGTGTGTATGAAATGTGCTTCTTAGAAACTAACACTAGCATCCCACTTCGCATGCAGCCCAGACACAAACACTGACATGATCTTAACGACACACATAGGAAGCTCATCAAAAGAACAGGCACCAATCAGCTGGTATATAAAAGGAGACTAATTGCAGACGAAGGCACTAATCTGAGCTGAGTCACTGATCGCACCAGGAGACCCGAGTTCCAAAAGAGCACCGGAAAACTTCAAAGACAGAAAGTCTAATCCAGAAAGATACACAGGGGCCTAGACCATAGAGTCAGCCACAGTTTACCATACATCTCAACGGCAGCGGGGAAATGAAACTTCTAAACATAGCGTCTGTGGCATTACACTGTCTGTCACTACATGCTGGAATGGGACCAGGGAGTGGGTAGGACACAAAGGCTCATTTCCCCCTTTAAAAATGAAAGGTTTGAGCCCGGTAGACAGGCAGCCTTACCTCTGCACTCCTTTGGGGAGGCCGGCCTTGTGGGTGAGCTTCTCACTGCAGCAGTCCACCAGCCTCTTGAGGATGTACAGGCACTCCCTGAACGTAGAAAGGAACGGGTAGTGGCTGATGATGCACAGCGAGGTCAGGGCGCTGTTGCGGCTGCGTGGGCCGTGTCTGCCACTGCGTTTGCCCTGTGGCGACTTGCCCGCTTCAGGCACCGAGTTGGCGCTCTCTGAGCTCTCACTGCCCGCCTCCTCAGGGGCACCGCTGGGGTCGCCGGGCGGGGGCGGGGCAGGCACCACCGCAGACGCCCCCCGGGGCCTTTCTGACTTAGCTGATCGCCTCTGGAAGGAACAGTAGAAGTTGACACAGATGCCATAGCGTGTCACGCCCGAGTCCTTGTCCGTGAGCGTGAACACAAAAGAGGTGTCGTCTCGCAGGCCCATGCGCCTCTGCCGCACACTCAGGCAGCCTTCGGGCTGGCAGAAGAAGACGACGTCAGGGGGGAGGGGGAAGTCAGGGTGATCCTCCAGGGGGTAGCGGCGCAGTAGGCGGGGCGTCTGGGCCACGCTGTCACTGCTGGGCTGCCTAAAGAGGGAAAAGCACAGCAGGAACTTATTCAAAGGATGGTATCACTAATCACACACCTATACATCCACAACCATACTTCTAAAGAAGCGATTATCCCTAACATAACGTAACGTAACGCAACATTACACATAACACAACCAAAATATGACAAGACCTCTGCCTGGGGTTGTCTGTTGTGTCACATGATCAAATTACAAAGCAGGACTGGCACATGACATTGCCGGAAACCTCCTGTGTCACATTTCTGGTTTGAAAATGTGTCTTGTCCCTCAATGATAGTAAACTCGCAACCCATCATACACTGCGAGGACCCACCAGTCTACCTTTGAAATATTACTTAACCCAGCAAAATCCACAAGGATGAGCAACAAATATCTGTATTAAATGGCATTTTATGGATGATTTCTCTAGTTGCAGGCATGGTATTCCATCAGTGCCAATAATTTATGTTAACTAGCAGCTAGCAGCTCTTAGCGCCACGGAGTAGACATATCTAGATTTTGGCAAGCTTTTGGACCATATTTAAGCAGCCAGAATCTCTTTTGGACCATATTTAAGCAGCCAGAATCTCCTCCTGCCCCCAGCTCCCCCCCACCGTTCAGGTCTGCACCTCTTTGACTTTTCTCTTGGCCTGGTCCCTGCTCTGCTCTTGGATCCAGCCACTCAGACATCTGAACAGTTGCCCATTGGTTACTTACTGGCCAATTCTAGGGGTAACAGTGAGCTTTCCGGGCGTCCCCTTACCGCACTGCAAACACAGGGGATCTGGCCTGTTACGGCCCAGACCCACCCACACTGGCCTGTTACGGCCCAGACCCACCCACACTGGCCTGTTACGGCCCAGACCCTCCCGCACTGGCCTGTTACGGCCCAGACCCTCCCGCACTGGCCTGTTACGGCCCAGACCCTCCCGCACTGGCCTGTTACGGCCCAGACCCTCCCGCACTGGCCTGTTACGGCCCAGACCCTCCCGCACCCATAATGGGTACCGTGCTGATTATTACAGCAAAAAAGACCACACGAACATGCATTTTTGTGAAAGTGTAAATGGTGTCCATAAAAGCATCCCTCCAGAGGGACAGGCTGCGGTTTGTCGATCTATTGTGATGTTTAAAGGAAATGATCAAAAAATACAGAAAGAAGTTCACTGGGAGGAAAATGACAAAAGTGCCACACTGCACAACCATGTGACCAGTTTCTCTTAAGGTCATACAATACAGAATGTGTTCAGAGCAACAGATTCCTATTAGGAATGGCTGAATCAGGCTGGACCAAGGACCACTTACCTGGCACCGACCACCACCACGTAGTCCAGTAAGCGAGAGCACGGTTTCTTTTTCTCCATGGCTGAAAGAGGACCTCTTCTAAGTCATTGTAACTGAGACACAGGTGCAGCACTTTGACCGGAGGCTGTTCGACCAGGAAACAGCGGAGCTAGGCCAGTGATAAGCTCAGACGTGCTTGGGCAATCATTAGGAAGCAACGGGGAACTTGCTGTCCTCCAGTGGCAACTCACAATCTGAGGAAGGAAGCAAATTTATTTCACACATTCTGACCACTAAAGCAAATAACATCAATATTAGGGCACAGATGTAAAACATTCAAAACAGGCAGGATAGCATGCATCCCTATCAAGGATCATTATGCAACATCAAGGTGAGAAAAACAGACCCATCTGGAAATAAAAGCAATAATTAACCTGGAAACTGAAAGCAAACATTCTCAGATGAAACAGTCATTTGCTTCACAGCGGGACTCTCAGCAGTGCGAGGCTCAGAGGCGGCAGATATCTTGTTATACTCTCAGCCTGCTTAGAGGTTCACGACCTTCGTGCAAAGTGCTGGTGGGCACACTGCCTGCTGTTGTTCGGCGCCGGGGGTCGTTTAAAGCATGTGCCACTCTGCCCAATCCAGAACCGGGGGCAGCCATGCAGTAGGTGGATTGTTGATTGGTTATTTGTAAAATTTATATACTGCCAAACTTGCTCCTCAGTACCTGAATAATTGCTCAGTCTTTATTAAGATACACAACACTGCAGTGCAGCCCAGAATCCAGCGACAATGTAGAAAAACTCCAGTCTCCCAGCCACATGCCTCGCCTCACATTACCTGCTTTTTCAGTCGCCCGTTCAGTTCTACTTGTCTTGTTGCAACAGTTCTTGATGTGTCATGCTGGAGCACTTGTCAGAATGTAAACAGCAGACCTGCATGGTAACTAGCCCAGCCAGCTCTCTGCAGAATCCAAAGCTAATAATGTAGAAAATACTCAATCTCTGTATGAATCCTACACACCCATGGTGGCTCAGGAAACAGCAAGCTAGTACAGCTGGAGTCCAAACATGCATCTCCCAGTGTAGCGACTCGGTGTGCAGATCCATTCGTTTGAGAAAAATACAAATATTAAATTGTAATGTGCACCACTGACTAAAATACATGGTCGAACATTCTCTCAGTGACACCATCAGCTTCCCCAGAGCACATTTGAAATGTGGCAAACAGGCACCTACATCATTACTGTATACACCCTGCAGGCCATTTCCTCTGGAAATGTCTGTTACGCAGCTAAAGTGAAGATATGCCAGGTTTCAGTTCCCAGAGAGACCGCAATTAACAGCTTTAACCAAGAAGTTGATAAGACAGATCATGCGAGTTCAGATGCAAACAAAATGGCTGTAATTTGTTGTTAAACCATATGTCTATCTTCTTCAAAACATTTTACGGGCATAGGTCTCATAATTTGTCACAGTTTAGTAAGTGAAACTTGGAAAAACATATTAAAGTTAATTTAGAGGAATGAATTATTTATATCCCCTAACGAGAAACAGCGAACTGAAGATGGATGGATGAAATTATTTATGCTCTGCTTAATGGTTCCAGAGTAAGAATTACCAAGTCATAACAGATTAGTGGAAATAAATGAACACACTCAGTGTCCATTAGGAGACAAAAATGTTCTTTGAAAATACATAACCTCACCTTTATATGGATTCTTTCACTAGATTAGGGTTAAATCTATAGGTTAACATGATTTAATCGGAGAGATTCATTTGGGAGACTTGTATTTTAATTATTGGGACTGGTCTTTGGCAATGGAAGATGACGCAAAACGAGTACATAAGAACATAAGTACGCATATTGAGATTCACCCAGAACGGCCAGTTTGGGGAGCAGAATGCAACAAGCCAACCACTACGATAAATAACCAGCCCTCTTTTCAAAACTGTTCCTGCCACATTTTTGCACAAATCAACAGTATGACGTGTTGCACAATGATATCATGAGCCAGGACGGTTCACGAGTCAGCTGGAAATGCAAACCACTATTTCCCTACTTTAACTGCCACAGGGCCAACATCCCTACTGGTTCTCTAAGGCTGCACAGAGCCAGTGCAGAACGAAGGCTTTGGATTGCAGCTCCTCTTTGTTTTAGTTTGGGCGGGGCTCCCAAAGAGAGATGGAGCAAACAGACAATGTGCCGACAGGGAAGAGATGAGAGAGCACATGTTTTCAGAGAGAGATGACCTCGTCTGAACTCCTACCAGCCAACAGAGCCATTTCATTTCATTACATTTACATCTTTTTACATCACTGTACAATTTAAAACAACAGGACTTAAAAAAACCAATATCACAGGTCAACAATTTGAACATTCAGCATTATTATTTTTTTCTTAATTAGCAAAAATAGTACTATGATATATTGAAATCCAGAAAACAAGGACTGAAAATTGTAAGCCTTCCTGTTCATTTAAAATTACAAACAATAGTAATGCTGCAGCAGCTACGTGATCTATTTCACCACAGAGCTGGGAAAACCATACCTTCACAGGAAATTCTCACACCCTTGCTTTTACTAAAGAGGGAACACTCTCTGACATTATAAAGGAGATTACTAGTATATCATGTTGTTTTACACCTGAAAACATTAAACATTCTTTAAAAATAGAATTTATTTCAAATTCCGGCAGATTTAAAATTTTTACAGTAACTACAACTGCAGTGGAGATTATAATGTCATTCAGTACATGAATCCCTGCTTTAAAAAGTTATTGTTACTATTCCTCTCATGTCAGCAATCTGTACCGACCACAAGCCACACTGCCCCAATACTTACTCATTCTAATTTTTTTATATCAGCAAACCATGTTGTCATAATACCTGCTTCGCTACTATTCATATCACAAATATCTGTTTGTTACAGAAAAGATTCATGGCTTTTAAAGGATTGAATTGGGATGCAAGAAAATGACACGCTAAAACATAATTTTTCTGAAGTAGTTTTCCCAACTCAACTGGTTGGCTGAAACAAACTCTTGGTCTGGACTTTAACTCTCTGGACCTGAACAACCCATCTCTGCATGTGGCTAAGACCTAAAAAAATGAGGGAAGTATCTAACGTGTAATCTGTAACTGTGCATGCAATGACAGGAATCATAATAGGAACAAGAGGGTTCTAATGCTGTGGAAAGTTGTAAAGCAGAACATTAAGAGGCAAAAGGTCTGACAACCAAGGAAGGAGCAAGACAGAAGGACAGATGTTTCAGAGTAAAAAGTGATGTGTGAATATAATCAAGATGTACTGTGTACAAAAGACCCAAAATGAGTTTGGTTTATGCACCATGGATATTTAACAGCGTGAGGAGTCACTGCAGAAACGCACTTCACTGAACCATTTTTTCTACTGTTACACAGTATTCAAATTAACTGTATATAATTCAAATTTTACAAGATCACATTTTCATATGTTACCGCCAGTAGGTTTTGTTCCATCTGCTTTATTCCCAAAAACTGCACTACGTCCCTTAAATCATTTTAGACACAAGGAAAGGAAAACCTGGATGAAAAATGTAAGCACTCTAGTTACAGTCAGTCCTACTACAACGCATGATATCACACCGCAAATCTGTTCTAACGTGATTGATAAATTAGTACCAAAGTCCAATGCAATCATATTTGTATTTGTGCAATATTCAGTGGGAGAGAAAAACACTACATGAACTACAACGTGATATGGTCTTAGCAAGAAACATTACTAGCACGCAAAAACAGCTCTCCAAGTGAACATTAGTGGTATCCAATTGGTGAACAAGCTGTTCTTTAGAACCGATTCTTTTTAGTCAACTGTCTGTAACCATGTTGCCTTCATTGCCCCTCCGCTTACCATAATCTGCGGTACTGCTGCCGTGTCCCCGTCCAGCCACACGGTGGCTGTGGCTCCCTGCTCCCAAGTCTCGGCAATCGACAAGTTAGCAAGTTCGCCACATTCCGTTGAAGTTACTCATCAATTCTTGTGAGAATTATAAGACCAATTGGAGATGTTTATGATATAATTTATTCATGTATTATTATTATTATTATTTATTATTTAAAATACAGATAATTACATTAATGGTCACGGGTATCAGTGCTTTTATTAATTAATTCATTTAATTTGTGTAAGGTACTAATTTTTGGAGTCGTATGTTCTTATGTACTCGTTTAACCCTAACCCTAACCCTAACCCGCTAACCCTATTTTTCCAATAGGATATGTGTATTTTGGTTTGCGATTTGAGTGACCGCTGGGTTTTTTCGGGAATGTATTAGTCGCATTGTAGTAGGACTGACTATACATACATAACAAGTCAAAGGGGAATTTCAGTCACATCGAGGGACAAGAAACAGGAAGAATGGACATATTTTTTAAGTCTGATAATCTCATCAGCACTTCTCACTAAATATTTGTGACAGGACTGTGTTATCTACAAGCTATTTCGGGCCTTCACAAATAGTCCCCTTACCAACAAGGACTCAGGTGAAGAATTTCACTGTCCTAGTCAAAAAGGGGAAGAAAAAAAAACATGCCAATTTAAAACTGGCATATAATGATCAACGTGCAATTAACTACTGTCTGAATTCTAACAGTGCTTTGCAGACAAAAACAAACCCACGCAGCATCTGAGCACATTCATATGCAGAAACAAGGCCGGTGTGTCCCTGAATAACAAAGCCGACATCAAGGCACACCTTCAGCCCTCTGTAGGCATGGCAGGAAGAAATGCTATGCCAGGACCCCAGCCCAGCCATCCAGATGATTACATTAACATTTACTTATTTAGTTGCTTTCATCCAAAGTGGAAAACATGTGAGACGGGTGATACATCAAAAGCATACAGCTGTCAAGGAGCCAACTTAGGTAGGTAGCGCAGCTAGGCTGAGCTTTCAATGAGTGTCCAGAAACAAGTTAAGGAAAATTAGCATTACCCACAGGTGGAAAGTTCAGGTCCAGTAAAGTACAAATCCAGACCAAGGTTTGATTTCAGCCAACCAGCTGAGTACTGCGAGGCTGTGACTCTTTATATTCAACTGGTTGGTTGAAGCAAAATCTTGGTCTGGATTTGTACTTTCCACCTCTGGCATAAGCAAGAGCTACCCAAAATAAGACCAGCACTGAACCCACATGACGTTGTAAACTTTGTAGGGAACAATGTAGACATCACAAATGGTCTCATATACAGCCTAAATACACCACAAATCTGTGTTC